CGGAGCCGCGCCGCTGGCGGCACGGAAAAAAGGCGGCCCTAAAAGAACTTCATATTTTTTATGCTCTGACAGCGACTTGGGTGGTCCAAAATGGCCGCCAATGATGTAATATAGTGCTTTCGCCGCGAGAGAGCCTCTCCTTACCCTTCCCTCGTCACTCCGACGCGGCAGCGGTATATAGAGTTAAATCCACCGCCTCTCTCACCCCTAGGGCCCGAACGGGGCCCCTCTGCGGCCGTCTGTCCTCTTCTTCCTCGTACACGGGCTAAACCTCGTACACCTTAAACCACCTACTCCTAACCGCGCGCGTGTTTGTCGGATCCCATTGCCGGGGCTCTCCCGGGGCATGTAATTACTCGAGGCACGATGTCTTTCGGCTCTCTTTTGCCCCTCGGCTCGTATCTCTTACCACTCCCCGTTTGTCCGCGTATGTGGGAAAACTGCGGGGCGGCGACATATAAATTTGTTGCCGTGTATGGCGGTTGACAACGGCGGCGGGGGCCCCACGGGATGATGCGCTCTTGTACGTGTGTAATTTACAAAGCCCAGCGCTACCTGCCCGAATTCGATACCCGGCTGAGGTAGAATAACATGGGTTCCCTCCGAGCGGGCTTCTTTCTTATTGCCATTATGAGCCAACGAAATCCGAAAGCTAATTTAATCTTCCGCACGAACGCGGATTGGAAATGTTCGCGTTGAGGAGGACTCCCTTTCGATTTTCACGCGTGTTATGTAATCGTAAAGTATAATTATTTCATCGGATAAATCGCACTTGAAATTTTTGCGAGGCAGTCATCTGGCGAGCGGCGATTATCACGTGCGTCATGTGTCGTAAACGTTGCGCGGCCGTGCGTAATTAAACGTCTGATTAAACAATTAACGCAACAATTTTCCGGACGTTATCGTCAATCTCGAGATACCCGCGATTTGACAGGCTATTAATGTCGAAAATCCGTCAACCCTTGATATATCATCGCCGGACGATCGGTCATCCACGGGAGCCTGACCTATTACCGTACGCATCATCAATTCTTCATTCGTACACGAGTCCGCCGTGTCGTACACACAACGACTCAATAGAGTCGTTCGCCGCGCCTGGAGACAATGCCGCCATAAACAGCCGGACGAGAGTGCCGAATTTTCCTTCGGGGCTTATCGCTATTATTACGGTCACGAATTGCCCCGGAGCGACAACAGGCTGTAATTGCCGGACGTGCGGCGAGGCCTAATGGTGCCGAGGCGCGAACTCGGTATCGATAACGCGTCGCGGACATGTTAATCTAGGATCTATCGCGTATAGATAAGTAACGTCCCTTCCATAGCCGGTCTGCCCTAACATCACCTAAGCCGCTGCCTTTTTGTCTTTCGTAGATTGATAACCGTCAGCAAATATTGTAAATAGCCGCGGCTGGCTTGAGAATTAACAAGCGATACATTGTTAGTAAAATGAGTGATAAATTAAATGTCAAGTCTCTGAACGAATTGGAGGAGGCTGATTAAGAAGCATTCTGAACTTGCAAAAATTGATTTTACTGTGTGCTGTCATTAATGTAAAATGAAATGTTGGAAAACTACTCCTGTAGATGCAACAAAGCCAGTAAACGTGACGTGTGATAATCAATTCGAGATTGTAAAACGAAGACGTTCTACGAACGATTAATATTGTGTACAATTTTACAAAATTATACGTAATTTTATACAAAAGATCGTACACGATTTCTCGAAAAGGGAAGAAAACTTCGACCATTAATTCACTGGGCTTAAAAATGAAAATCACCTTTCGGCATTTTTTGTACACACGATAGACGTCGAGACAGATCTTTGATCAAAGGTGCCGCGTCCTGCAGGTAAAATATTTTGAAAGGTCAGCAAGATAATTATCCTCAATTTTTGCGGGAAACTGGAAGAACTTAAATATTGTAGCCCGCATTAGACACACTTCCTGCCGCGTGCGGTTTAAAAGACCGTTTCAACGGAAATCACGGGATACATGAAAATCACTTTAAGAATTTATATTGTATTATACAATGCCGGTAATAATAGCTGCATCAACCTTTCTGTGTATAAAGTAATATCGTAAATATAATAAATGAGAAACGTCACCACAGAGATGCATTGCACAGTATTTTTGGAGAATTCTTTTTCGAGTTTACGAGAATATATACAAACAAAATGACAAGCAGCGCAAATCTCTTATTCACAGTTACGAACGAAACTAATCTCTCATTCTGTCCGTTTAACGACACAATCCCTTCATCAATTATGACGTCGAACCGTAGACCAGCGCAAACTTATTCAAAGCGCACGACGTATGGAAACTGACTAGGTAAAGTCGTGATTAGAGAGGTTCGCTATCTAGAATATCTGAGGAGAGAACAATGTCTCGCGACCGCGGCGGAGCGAGTTCCTTCCACAAGATCCGCCATATTGCGGGCGCGAAACTGGCTCGTGGAAAGAGGCATTTTCGAGGATCATTTCCAGGAGAAATGGGACGCACCACGTCAGAATCCAGCGGGCACCGACGACGGTGCACTACTATTTGCGGCAGTTCGCTAATTCCACGCCCATCCTAAGTTTTACGGCCGACCGACCGACCGGACCACCGAGGGCAATCGCTCTGTCGAGGGAGCCTGGTGTTTATCCGCGCCGGGAAATCTCGGGCAAACGCAGAACGGAAACCAATATCCCGCGAGCGCGTTGCGGTTACACGCTCTCGAGGGACCTGCGGGAATTAAGACGGCGAGAAAAAGGCGAGGGACGAGTCTAAGAGGATCCTCAAACGATTCGCGATGGCGCCTCTCCCAAGGTAGACCTGTCTACCCGATCTGTCCTCCGGTGAACGACGAGCTTCTGCTCGAGGTGCCGGATATTGCCGCGAGAATCGTAATTAGAATTGCGTTATTCGACATCCGACAAAGGCCTGCATAATTATTAGCTCCTTGCGTCCTAATGCTTTTGTTGAAAAACACTATTTTACATTACTTTCACTAATGGACTCCTGGTTTTGAAACAAAACCACCTTTCTTAACTCGCAAGGTGCGCAACTGAATAGTTGCGTTATTTTTAAAAACATGGAATACATAAATTAATATTGTTTTAAATTTTCCTCGATTTCGGGTTAATGTTTCAATCTAATACTAGTCTCGTAGCCTTTGAGTTCTATTGTAAGTGTCTTTAATAGTAGAAATTTATCTTATAAATAAATTTTTATAACAGAAAATATTTACCACCAAGAGAGAAATCATTTCATCGTTGTTTAATAATTGCAAACAACAACAATAAAACGATTCACTGTGTTACACGGTCGTCTGTGTAACGTTGCTGAAAAACACTCATAGTTGCGTTCGGAATTTTAGAAATAAGGTATCATTGAAGACTTGCAAGTCTTCGCGTTTACATGTATCTTTAAGCAGTTATAGAATGTAAAATTATTTACAATTTACAGTAGCGAATAAACGAGAGATTCCTTTTGTTACACGCGCCCTTGCTGTCAGTGCAATGGAGTAACGCACAATAACGAGCATAAAGGCCAAATCAAGCTAGCAATTGCTGACTCGGGTTGGATTGGGATTGGCGGTTGGCGATTGTCTTCTAGCCAATGGGAGCAAAGCAGCCAGCGATTTAATCGACTCTCACTGGCTAGAGGGCAGTCGTCAATCGCCAATCCCAATCCAATACGAGTTAGCAATTGCTGGTCTGACTCGGCCTTTACGCGATTGCGTGTGCATCGCGCGCGTTGCACAATTGGCAAGCACCCCCGCTGGAACGCCGTAGTGCATAAAAATGTAATAACGGAATGGTATAGTTTATTGCCTGCGTCAAGATCGTATCGCGTTATTGTTCGTAGTTCTTTGTAGAACGGCAGCCGAGCAAGGAGCAGAATAATGAGGTGCCGCGGCGCGGCTGTTCAAACATGGCCGATGACGGTCCCTACGGGCGAATCATTCCCCGCACGGCCGCGTTTCCACCGTTGTTCCTCTCGCGCAATTTTCTCCACGATATCGCGATTTGACATGCGCTCGCGCACGAAGAGGAGCCTCCCCGAGTGAAACCCACCCCGGGACGGTCCCGCAAGGTGCATCCTTCTTTTGTGCGCCGCAAGAAAAAAAAATTACGGCCGACCGAAATTACGAGCGAGCGCCGACGCGGCTTACCGCTCCAATTACTTACGCCATTAAATTGATATCGCGAGCGCGCCAACGGGGGACTATAATGGTCGTCGTCACCCCGATCCATTCGGCGATAAGCCGGAATTCCGTCGTCAGAAACGCGTCGCTCTTTCCGAGGAGTCGCACTCGCTCTCGCGGTGTAATTTTCTCGTCCGACGATTAAACCTGCCGTCCTATCTCGTCAAATCTGCCCGCCGTCGTTTCCGACGGATATTCATCTGCAGCGTCGCGAAACGGAAGAAAAAAAAAGAAACGAGGACCCGGCGACGACGTAGCGGACAATGATATTATTATGCTCGACTTGCTCATAATGCATCGCGATCGCTCGTCTCCTCCTCGACTCTACACGCGCGGGCAAATTTCGACGCGTGTAAACCGGTGGTGTACGGTTAACGAGGTTTTTACTGACGGCGTATCGCCGTCGTCGTTTCGATCCTCCCCGTGATTCGATCTGCGATCAGGCATAGAAAAAATATCGTTTCGAAAAAAAAAACGAGGCCGCAGGCCTATCAATTTAATTTTGTCTCTCTCCAATCTCGAAAGTCACGTAATCGGTCTCACGACGAGCAATCGCGACGCGGATAATCGACTGCGCAGCAGTTACTCTATATTTTTGTAGCTCGTTCTCGTACAGGATGTCTCAAACGATTCCCACTCGGGTGCGGAACTTTTGACGAAGCCACGAATGATCATCTTCATTTCGTGGCGTTCTAATTTCTGGCATTAAATACCGCGAACCAAGTAGTAAAACAACACTTTTCAAAGATCACATTTGAGACGAAAGAAAGACTACAGTTCGGTTACCCTCGGTTTGCATCGCCCTGTACATACCGCAGTAATATATCAGCTGCCTCCGTCGATCCTTCGCGATTGTATCCTGCGCAGACGAAGGCGCAAGCAAGTGGTTTTAATCGTGTACACAATTTATTGCGCGTTTTTCTTTTCCTTTTCCACTCGTTTTTTTTTGTAATGAACAAGAGATCTGGATCGATACCTTCCGATCTTCCACGAGCCACCGTCTTCATTACCATAATGTACGAAGATAACAGCGAACAGTTAATAGTGAAAAATTGAATCGATTTCCCTAATAACAAGGTGCTAAATGACGACCGACTGGCACGGCGCGGCGATTATTATTGTACTGTCAATCGGTAGCGCATATTCGATTATTTTAGGATTCAAACTACCCGACGCGCCTCGACGCCGCGACGTTGCTCAGTTTTCTTATATCTACACTGATGAAAAAATATCTTAATCTAAAAAAAATATTACTTAACTCAAGAAAATTATTCATTAGGTGGCTCCTAATAGCTTATTAACTCAAATTGGAAAATAAACAGATTAAAGCATGCATTGCTTTAATTTAAGTATTTATTAAATTTGAAAGAATAGATAATTTTTAATTTAAAAAATGTTTTTTTAATTCTATAAAATGTTTACTAGGATGTAATTTTTACAGCGAAGAAAATTGGATTTCTTATTTAAGCAAAACAATTATTTCATTTAATAAATAGTATTCTATATCTCATGGATTTATTTGAATGTAGAAGATGTAATAATTTAAATTAATTTACTTTATATAATACATAAATTTACTTGAAATTGATATTTTTATTTAAATAGAATAAATATTTACTTCAGTAGAAAACATTATTTTAAGGAAATCTATTTACTTACAATTAGTTTAAAAAATTTTTTTGTTAGTGTAGGACATTCGGTATTTGTGAAAATGTGAAAATCAAACACTAACATATATTGAACTTAATTCATCCACACATAAAATAGAATTAATGCACTAAGCTTAAACGATCGGAAAAAATTCAAGGGGAAATCGGGAGGAGGGTTGTGGTGTCCGCGTTTCATGGAAACCTATTTTCCCCGCAGAGTTCTGCCAGAGTAAAAGGCGAGCAGATACAGCACTAACTCTACGTCGCGTAAGACAAAACTTATCACTTAGAAATAATAAAATTAAGTGAATTTTGGAAACATTGTAAACGTTTCGCTCGCATTTGAGAAGAGTAGTTGAAGTAACCTGTTCGCAAAGAAATTCTTTGTATCCAGGTTCAATTGTGTCCGCGATCATGACCTACGTGGCATATACCTAAGCATTAAGCTCGCTTTTACCGCATCAAAAGTATCAATTTCGAACAAACGAGTACAGTAGTCGAGCGAAGAAACGCGCGCGAGAGAAAATAAACGAAAGTGTGCGCCGCGGACTCGGAATTCAGAGCCGGAATTCAGATAGCAAAATTTTAACGACCCGAAATGCTCATTACGCGTCCCGCGCGCGCGCGCCCCCGCGCGTTTATCACTATTTCGAATCGTAATCGCCGGTTATCACGCCAACACGCGCGCAAGCAATTTTTCTCGCACGCGCGAAACCGTGCGATGCAATTTGCGATTAACGCAACATTCTTCGCGACGCGGCCGCCGCGCGAATTCACGACCGATCGTCTTCATCACCGTAACACGCGCCCGAGATAAGCGAGAAGCATTATATCTTCTTCACATCGGCGAGCCTGCACTTTCGGTATAATTTTGTCATTAAACCCCCCCTTCCCGCCTCGCTCTTGCACAACCCCTTCCTTCACTCGCTGCAAAGTCGAGGGTAGGGAAGCGGTATCGCATATCCCTACGTATGTAGGGACGAAATCTTAACAAGATTCGCATGACTAAACGAAGAGACGTTAAAGGAAATCTCTCTTTTTCTTATTTTACACGATGATGCGATGTAATAAAGTAGAAAAGGTATTGTCATTATTATGTTTTTAACTTGTTATAATAGACATAATTGTTTAATTACGTCCATCATGTCCGTATTGTATATGCATTCCAGCGAATTGTACGCAAATTGTACAGGGCAGAAATTTTTCCATCATTTTCAACGAAGTCAGCTCGATGCTCATAAATTTCTACCGTCACGGTCGTTCTCAGAATATTGTCGATTCGATTCTTGAAAAACTGGCAAGTACATTTCGCGAAAGCGAGATTATTCCTTAACGATTTCAGAGCTGAAGCTTAAGTCTCATTAAGTCTCCGTATAGATCCACCCCTGACGAGGTAGAGACGAAAGACGAGAAGCCGGGCCGGGCGGCAGGAGAGCAACGAGGACCGCGGATCCGGCGATGATAATGATTCCGACGATGATAGACGGCTCGTTATTACTATACGCGTTCACGCGAAGCAGGGAGGGAGGCAGGCGGCCGGCGTGTTCGTGTTTTAGAGCTGGGAGCGATTGGTCGACGCCATTACTCACACCGTTTGCGCCTGCCACATGGTCCGATAGGTCTCTTCTCATCCTTACCTTCTTCTTTTCTTCCCATCCCCCTTCTTCTCTCCATCGCTACACTCACGCTTCTGTCCACTTCTCCGTTCAACCCTTTCGCCCTCTCTTTTTCTCTCTCCCTCCCCTCCCCCTTCGCCCCTCGCGTTTGCCTCCTCTTTGCCTCCCCAGTCACCTTGCTCACTTCGACTTTTGCTCCTTCTCGCACGGGCCTTCCCGTTCGTTTCCTCCGTCCTCTTCTCCCGTCCTGCGCCCCCCCTTTTTCCCCTCCGGGTCTGACTTTCAAGCGTGAGATCTGACGGCTGTATCGTACCTCCTTAGGGCGCGTATTTTATTTGGCGCGCCCTTCAATTACCTCGTACGCAATTCGAATGAAGAAGAACAATTGCTATATTAGATGCTCGCCGGGTGGGTGTGTTAATACATTTTATACTCGTGACGCGCGATCGCAGCCGCTTGATTCAGCGATTTATTATTTTCTTCGAGGCATACGCGGGGAATACGCACATGCGGCCCGCCGCGCCGATGGGCGCGTGCGTCGTTCCTCCACTCGTGAGAAGTCGCTTTGCCAAAGTCAAAATTTGTCTATTCACATGTCTGTCCGCGGGTACAAAATAAATTGCACAAAACACCATAAACGGGGAGCACGCGAGCAAGAAATAAATTGCGACGCGTACGAATCTGTTATCGACGTAAATTCCGATCTCGCGTAATTTCCTTCCGATTACACTCGCGCGAGAATATCACCATCCGAAAATTACGTAATCGCGAAATTTTCTTCCCTCGGCGGAGAAATTCATCATTAATTGATTGCGTGATCCCAGTTCAAAGAGAGCTAAGGTCGGACGCGTCGATCGGCATATTTCGCCTCGATATCGTGCGCGCGATAGGCATCGATCGCGAGCGTCTTTCTTCGCCTCGTCGTCGCCGACATTCGTGAGGCATGATACGACATGACAGTCGGTTTGTGCACGACATTATGAAGATGTCCCCGGCGTACGATGAAACAACGACGGCGACGACGACGAGGACAACGAGGACGAAGAGGACGACGATGGCGGCGGCGTGGCTTTTACAAATATTTCTACCCTCGTCCGTGTATGCACGGTGCGTGTGTACGCGCGCACATCGACGTTACACGCATTATCTGATGGCATACGACATACGTCTTCGCTGTCAACCGATCGTTAAGGAAGCAATCAGAGTCGCTCGGATATGTCGGGTTGGCCCTCTCTCCTCGTCTTTCTTCCCCTATCAATCTTCTTTTTCGCGTTATCTCCCTTGCACCGTTTGCGTACGAATGCGCTAAGATAATCGATACCTATCCTCAATGCCTCGACGCCAACAGCATCATTTAATATGCGACGTTTCTTAATTGGTATTTTACAAGAAAACAATGTCTTGTTAATCTAATGAATTATTAATAAATTAACTTGTCGATCCCTATTGTACTGTCTTTTCATTTCCTCTCACCCTCTTCCCAGTCATTTCCAAATCGAGTCCCTCTAATCAGAATCTAGCCAACAGACCGTTTCCGGAAAAACGATGCGAGAGAGGAAGAAATATATTTCCTAGGTTTCTAACATAAGAGAGCAGATTTTCAACACCCAAATCAATCGCAAATCTTTTCTTGCAACGATTACATAATCTAACAATGAATTTTCCACTAAACAGATTTTACCCCAACGGCAATAAATCCATGGCTATTAATTTAACAGAAACTCCGCTATCCCGTATTAGGATCCTATCTCGTAATAGAGGACTTTCCTCTACATATCGATAGTGGTATACGATAGTTATACTTAATTTTATATACATATAAGAAATATATATTATACACGTGTGTCTGTGTATGTGTGTGTATTTCTTACATGTACATAAATTACTTATATATAACCACTATCGATGTCAGATATCAGGATGTAAGTTGCAAGACGAACAAAAGGGGAAATTCAGAAAAAGGTCGGCGACCAACTGCGAATCTCGCGGATCGGCATAACTTTCAGTTACATTCAATATGTCTCAATGATTCTGGGATTTGAGAATTTCAATGATTTTCCGATACGATACCCGACGCGGTTCCCCCCCCCCCTTGCGCGTACGTACGCTGGGCTCAAACGTGCGCTTATACATTCCCCAGGTGGATCCCTCAAGAACAGCCGCGCTCTCCTTTATTACGTGACAATATTGCGAACGCTTCTTGCGGGCAATAATGCGCCTTAAGATCCGTGCCAGATGTCACCGGCGCGGACAGCGGGTCATATACGAGACCGAAATCTCAAATATTAGCGCGAAATCGTAGATGGGAGAGCGCACACATCCTACGTGGGCAATATCGCGCCGCTCATCGTCCGCACATCGTTCTCTTCGCGCTCCTCGCTCTTTCATCTCCTGGATATTCGGCGACGACACGTGCGCCAAACGGCTTATAAAACTCCTCGCGTCACATCGCGGCGAGGGATCGCTCCAGCCGTGTTTTTTCAGTTTTATTCACAATCGCTTCGGAGTACCACAGTTAGGCCTGGTTGCACCAACGTCGCTTAGATTTAACTTTAGCTTATTTCACTCTTTGTCTCTTTCTAAGGGAAACAGTTGGAAAGCGACAAAGAGTGAATTAAGCTACAGTTAAAATTACGTG